CCCATCTGGGCATTCTGGGCAAAACACTAACCAGCTCATATTTAGCTGCCTCCTCTTCCTTCATTTAATGCTGAAATACAACATTGTGATATCCGGTACCATCATTCATCTTCTGCTTTTCTGAGCCCTTCAAATTTGCATTTTCAAACTATTCTAGCTATCATGACCTTCCTTTTAGTAAATGGGAAATATGAAATCAGCCCACGGTTGCATGATTCCAGGAACTTGCAGGAGAAGCCCGGTCTGGAAACACACAATAGAGCCAGAGCACAGGCATGTGCCCAGCAGCCAGGAAGGATCCCTGGGTGTGGATCAAAAGCAGAGACCCAGCGTTGCAATGAAGAACACAGAGACTTGGAGTCAGGACTGTAGGACTGTCCCACTGTATTTTTTCCCACATCTGGTCAATCAAATTTTTGAGGAATCTGTGAAATTCAGCTAGTTGGGAAAAGCTCTTGAAAGTTTAGTATGGAAGGAAAACCAGTAGTTTTTCGGAGCCATATACCCCCCATCTATTTATGGATACATACGTGTGTTATGGCTTATTATTCTATATTACTAGACTGAATGTATCATAGTTAATCAGATTTTGGCAGCTGTTTGAGCAGCACATAGAGTGTCCCAGTGCACAGAGCACATTCAAAGGCAATGTTAACACCAGTGCAAATCACATCTCTATGCCGTCTGAAGTAAAGACTCCCAGAATAGGTACTATAAACAGCAGTTCCACAGTGGCTTTGTCTAATAAAAACCCTCTCTTGCGTTTACTAGACCCCTAAGTCTGTTGCCATTATAAACAATGGGAACTTTGGTACTCTTTGGACGGGGTGAAGGACTGGAGGTCGGAGCGGCTGTTGAGGATGTAAGCTGTCAATCTTGCAGATATTCATAGCGCTTTTTCCACGCAGCTGTGAGCGCTGCTGCTCTCAGGCAAGTGAGCCTGAATTCAGAAAATGCGATACAGCCGGCGGCAAGCAGACGTTCTCTACGGGTGAGGTCAGCCTGGATACTTATTGTCTGTGGATGGAGGGTATTTTTAATAGCTGAAACCATGCACCTTGCATAGTTACAGGCTTTTTCTATACAAGTACTACAGGTTGTGGAGGACATTTACTCAAAAGTGCATGTCTTCCCGCTGCGTGCCGCAGAGCACCTCTAATGCTCACGAAAAGGGGATGGCGCATGTCACTGCTCGGTCAAGGCTCGATAGCAGGTGTTGAATGAGAGCTGAGATTTTTTTATGTGTCCACTGGAGGAGGTGTTCAAAAATACTTCTACAGAAAGTCAGATAAAAATGCTTCTGCATCAGAGGACTGAGCTCTGGGACAGCTTTACATTTGAAGTGGGGCGTGTCAGTAGTCAGGATTAGCTTTAAGATGAAGCTTGATAATTTAATAACGGGATTATATAGCAGGGTCTTTTGCACTAGACAAGAACTTGACCCAGCAAGCAAAGGGTCTCCTCTAGTCCCACGTCCTATCTCCCATGGGAGCTGCTGAATATCAGTTTGATCCTGTTTCCCCAAACCTTTCTCAAGGAGAGACTTATGCTCGGCAATATCCAGCCTTTCCTGACTGCCACCTATATGAAGGAAGAGTCATGGGTCTGAGCTTGGCTTTCTGGTAACTGCTGAGCTGGGGGCTGAGGGTTTTGTACTCCTTCCCAGGAAGGCGCAGCTTGCTGGGCCTCTCCTGGTGGCAGTGCTGGTCTGAGGTCACGGTTCCTCACCCCTGTTTGGTCCTGCCCCATCTCAGCCCTGTGCTGTACTTGCTCCATAATGCAGATCAACCACTTGATAATACACCAAATTGCCCTGCCTTGCTTTGCCTTCCCTTACTTTGTAAAGCTTGCAGGAGTAGAAACCCCCTAAGCTAACACTGCCACAGAGGACAAAAAATACAGCGATTATATCCTTGGGCAGAGGAACCAAACAGAAACTCTTAGAGCTACCAGCATGGTAGCTGGCCAAGCAACACATCCCACTGCTGACAGCAAGACACAGATTTACACCCTCCCACGCAATGACTTGTGAGAGCTCCAAGGAAAACAGAGATAACTTAAAAATGAACAAACACGTTAATTCTTCAGTCAGTCTGCCCACAGCAACCAACTCCAAATGTCAAGCGATGGTACAGACTCCCTGTGACAGGCCTTTGCAAGGAGGGACTGGAAGCTCGGGCTTCCCACCTTCCTGGAGCCAGTGTGATAGTACACGTTTTACAGACCGTACAGCTTCAGCCGTGCTGGTTAGTCCTGTTGCCACGAATCACGTGCAACACATTTTCCTTTCTGCTGTTTAAAACTTTGATTCCCTTTCAGTTCTGCCAAAAAAACCCCCACGATCTAAATGCCAGCATTTTTTTCAGCCTTAGACCTAATTTTCCAATATTTTAGCATTCTGCCTGTTGATAGACTATTAGGCTAGAGTTAAAGGCAACTTTTATGGGATTTTTTAAATGGAAAACTGCACTTACATTGCATAATAGGGATTAAACTGGCCTTGCTTGGTGGGCCTGAATTGGTGTGCTCCATCAAGGGTCAGTTCTGTTCTCATTTTTTGCATTGGCACTGTCACGGAATCACACAGAGTCACAGAAGTTAAGGTTGGAAAAAACCTTTGAGATCATCAAGTCCAACCGTCAACCTAGTCAGGCTTCTGCCAAAATCTGATTCTGTTCTATTGAGAGTGTCCCTGGGCTGAGGAACCACGGTCACAGAGGCACACAGGTGGAGGAGACACAGCTGCCTCTGGGTTTGGACACAGCAGGACAAACCATACCTTGCCTTCCCCCTCCTTCACCGCCAGCATCAGGTCGTCCTTGATCTGCTTCTTGCAGTGCTCACAGGCGCAGTCGAAGTAATATTGCTTCTTCAGCTGCTTCCGCCGCTCCTCACTCACATTAAGGAAATCCACGTAGGAAACCGTCAGCTCGTCCCCTGGAGAAATCTTGCTCAGTGCCCGCAGCTCGATCCTGGGTGCAAAGGAGACGAGATGTGGACTTGGAGAAGCAGCAGAAGCAAAGGTGCAGCCATAGAGCCATCAGGGAAAAGTCCTGCGACCTGCCCCTGCCTTGTGGAGGTGAGCCCTTGCCCTAAGGTACTGCTTCAGCTCTTCAGGGAGGCAATGCAGAGATGGGCAGCAGTCCGGTTCACTGCACACAGAGTAAAAACACGGTCACACAGCTTTCTCCTGCCCTCTGCAAGTCCCTGGCAGGGATACGTAAGGGTCTGAGCTATAAACAGATGACGGCTCCATTACTTTATCTGCGTGGGGGTTGAACCTAGACATAAACTTTTATTATGTTGCAGGAGATCTTGCCACAAGAAAACCCTGAGATCAGAAATACCGAAAAACCCTTGCAAAATGCTGAGTTTGGACTTCAGGTCTTTTTTTAAGTACTGTTTTGCACGCTACCCATACACGCCTGGCTAGACTCCCAGATCCTGAGCTGTGCTGCTTTTGGTATCGTTTTCACTCTGAAAAGTTATGACAAATTCCCTCTGGGTGCTGGGTAAGAGATGCCCTCACCCTGTTCATGCATCTCTACATAAAGGCTTAGAAACAATTCTCTGGAAATAGTCAATTTTTTAATAGCTCATTTGATCCGATGCCTATTGCTAATAGAAACCACAATTTAATTGCCAGTCTCTGTTACTACACCAAAATCCACGGCAAGCCCTTGATGACAGGCTTTAGGAAAACCAAACCTTTGCACCTGCCTTTCTCTCACATCGTTCCCTGCAAAAGGTCTTAAATAATGTGGACACTCAAAACTATTCCCTTGCTGTTTCACTCTATATGCTAAATCCTCCAGTTACTCTGGGCCATCTCTCAGTTGCAGGGGCTGGACAGGCACAACTGGCTGAAGAATTTGGCCAGAACAGTAAAAAGCTCCCTCAAATACCAATTGCAAGGTGGTGCTTCTGTATCCAGCTACCCCCCCATCCACTAGTGACTCTACCCATGGTTAGAAATAATTCACTGCACTTGTGACCGGTGACCTTGGGCTCTCTGCTCAGACCAGTTAGTTGGTTAAACATATTTTTGCAGGTAGGCATACTTACGGGTTATCAAAATGAAGCCAGTCCCATGGTCTGAGCTCCCACCCTATCGTTGCGCTACAGTGTGGTACATCAGTCCTGGGACTCCTTCACCATGGGCAGCGTGCCTTGATCATCCTCCTGCTGAGCTCAGCACCGTGTTTGATGTACACGCCTGCTACAAGATGGACCTGGGGGGCACCTGCTGGCTCCCACCTGAACGTGAAGTGCTTTAGATGGGACCCAGTGAAGGTCTCACCAAAGGCATAGGTGGCATAGGACTCAAAGGTCTCACCAGGTGCATTAAAAGCACGTCTTTTATGGAGGACATGACTTTTTCTGTGCAATCATATTTCTGCAAAGGGATTGTAATTCTCCTGTAATTCCCTTTTAATTCCTTTGTAATTCCCATTACAAGCTCTCAGCACCAAGGACATTAGCTCTGAGCCTTTCAGCTGTGCTAAAGCTGCTGTGAAAACTACTCTCTGAGGCTGGTCTTGACCTTGTCTGGGTGTTAGATCATGTCAACAGCACATTTCATACAAAATTTATCACTGAACATGCCATCGTCATGAAGGGCAGCTATTAGTCGCAACCACAGGTAAATGCCAGCCAGAGAAAGGTGCAACCTGCTGCTCCAGGAGAAAGTGCACGAAAAAGAGCGATTCCCATCGGAAAGGTTTACACATACAAACATTCCTGTTCACACTTAATGGGATCCTCGTTAAAGTGAGTCATGCAACCAGAGAAGCAAAATCAAGCCTCTGACTTTTATGATGCCCCTGATAGCCTAAGCACCGTAGGTATATTTTAAGCAGCCGTCCCTTGTGTGGACGGGACTGATAGCATTTGGAATAAGCCTGGAAACACATGGCATATTTTAAATGCTATAGTTAAAGAGACACTGTCAGCCAGGAGCACCCCACCAAGCTTGCCCCGTGCTCTTTCCCCAGTGTCTGCCCCAAGCACCTTGAAAGACACATGCACAGGCACAGAGAGTGCCCGATAGCTCAAAACTCAAATTGCCCCAAAATAGCAACTCTAACCAGAAGGGAAGCTCATTTCTCCCTTTTTATGGTCCTATCTATAATGCACCAAGTAAGCACCAACGGTGAAGAAGAAGAGCACTTCAAAAGCATTTCCCGTCTTATTTGAGGAAATTGCATGTTTGGTTGAAATGTAAAATTTTAAAGACAACAGTGTCCCTTTAACAGGACTAACTGTGATATACCAAGTGCCGTGAGCTAAGCAGAGAACTTTTTTTTTTGCATATATATTCATGATTTCTTTAGTTTGGATCAGGTAACAGTGGCATCATTAAAAGGTAAAACATTAATCAGGTATTATGATAAAAAAGGATAAAACCTACATCTCATGGTACTACTGTAGGCAACGCATTCAAAGGGCACCGTTTGCTGCAAACGAAACGTGGACTATTTAGTATGTCAGTAATGCAATCATTTCTCATCTCCTAATACGCAAGGTTTTATTTTGGGCTGTACAAAATTAGCGAGACCTTGTTCTGACTTTCATGATCTTGCCGTAGTCAGGGGAGGAGAAATGAGAAGTGGAGAGGGGAAATACTGACAGGGAGGAAGCCAAGGGAGAGGGTGGGAAGGCAGGGAGGGAATTTGCCATGGGGGAGACAGTCACAGTATTACCACTATCATTTTAATTTACTACAAAATGCAGAGTTAAGTGAGGTTTGGGTTTAGTGGGTCTTTACATGGGGGAGGAGTAGAAGTTCAGAAAATGGGGAAAGTGAAATTTTCTGCAAACAGAGGGAGCCCGTCGGGCTATTTGCAGCTTTTCCATTAACATGGGGCATGAGGGGCACAGGGCAAGGGGAAGGACGATGCTTTCAAGACCGACCCACCTCATCTGTGTGTGGAACATTGATCTTACAGCCTCATGACTGAAAGACAAAACAAACATCTGCAGTTTACACAGGTACAAGTACAACGAAAAAAACAGGGTACACAGCATGGGGCATCAGGACATCATCCTGACGGGGGGCAAGGGGGTTCCCGGCCCCTGGCTCATGTCTCACTGCATATAGAGCTTCACATTTGCTATGCAGCTGCCATAACTGAGTTGCCCATCACTGGGCTGTAGAGGATTTGGTGGAGAACTGTCCTGGCACTGTGATTTTAGGAGTGCTCTCAGCCAGGGGGTGAACAAAACCCATTTCTGATGTTTGGCAGGTGCAGTGGGGCTAGTTCTCCTGCACAGAAATGTCTCCACTGACATCAGTAGTCGTGCTCTCTGAAACACAATTTGAAATGGAAATCAGACTGGGAGATCAGCAACAAGGACTGTGCTCTGTGTGATGAGTTTAGTGGGTCCTCAAATCCGGAATTGTGCCTTGAGTGCTGATGAAGAGCTCGCTTCCCACAACAGGGACTTATCATCAGGTTTCCACAGAAAGACAAGAAACCTTCATAATTTACCTGGCCAATAACCAGATGGTCGAGTTTATAAAAAGTCAGTAACAGGATACATGAGGGAACTTCGACAAGCTGCCAGGCAAAAAAAATTCCATTCCTCTACTTACCGCCCAGAAACTCAGACTTCAGGGTTGGTATCACTGCTAGTTACCTCCTCCACTTCCCAGACTGGTTGGAGAGGCTCTTCATCATCCCGTTATGGATCTGATCCAGGGCAATTGGCTATCTGAGTTTGGATCAGACCCTCTTTCCCATGAAGGTAATCATTCTAATGCAGTTTTGGTTTCTCTTTGCTCGTTTACCAGCTGCTTGATAAACACTGGCATAGTTTTATCAGGTAAAACCAGCAGTGAGAACTGGAGTGCACAAGCAATGTGTTAGTTAAAGAAGAGGAGGCTGGGGGGTTAAATTATAGCACTAACTTTTGGCAAACAGGGGAATTTGTAAAATCTTAAGACCAAGTGGAAAATTTGGATGAAATACTGTAGCTGTGCAGCTTTTGGCAAGCAGTTTCCCACAGTTAATGTCTTGCACACGATGCAACTTGCTGGATCAGCAGCAGTTTATACCTGTTCTGGCTTGGGAGGAAGCTGGGAAGAGCAGAGCATCCCCCCCCGCAGGCTTCCCCAAATGCTGAGCACAGCAGCCTCCACTCTCAGCTCTGCTGAAACATCCCTGCATTTCCCACTTCATCTCTTCCCATCTCACATGTCCCACAGAAGTTGTCTTAGAGGACTTGGGTGGGAATGGGGAATGCAGCTTAGGGCATCCTGCACTCGCACGTGACTCGGTTTGCAGATAACAGTCACAATTGTCATGAAGATCCCATTGCTAAAGGGTTAATCAGTGATTAACAGAGATGGTACACTCTCACAAAGATGAGGATTGTGTTAGGAATGGTTATAAACACATCAGAAGATACACAGCTGATTGCAAGCTTGCAAGTCCAAGAACTCTTAGACTGTGGACTCGGCATGATCTTTAATAATTCATTAACCATAATTGTTCCTTAACTATTTATAAATAAAGCCTCAATATAAAGGGTGAGCTAGGCAGCTACTTAGTACTTTATCTGCCTATTTTGAGTCTGGTTTCAAAACTCACAGAAACCAGGGAAAAAATCTTTGCTGGTTCACTGGATTTAGGGTCAAACCTTGTGTATGTGTTTAGTGCATCAGACAAGAATTTTTAAAATAATGAGAGAGAAAACAACTCCTCTTTAGAAAGAAAATCATGATCTTTTTTTTTTTCTGAGCTAGAAAAGGAAACAAGAATGAATAGATTTTCTGTGGCAGAAATCTGACACTGTAGGGTCAGCAGAGTCTGCTGAGCTGCCAGTTAGGATGCATCCCCGCTGTGCCTAAGGAAAGAAATATCCACTCACTTGCCGTTGTTGAAGATGACAGTACAATTGGGCCAGCAGTCATGGTTAGCCTGGCAGAGATTGGGGAAGACTCCCACACCAACAGCCTGCAGTCCTCTTTGGTCACTGAGGGTAAAGCCGTTGCAACTGATCTAGTCCCAAAACATAGGCAGGAAGAAGCATTAGAGGAGAAAAAGTTAACTCAGCTACATTCAGGATCTCTCCATTCCCACTGATGCTTTAGAAGAGGTGTATCTCTAGCATCACATCTCCAAACTTTAAGGAGAAAGGTGGAGTGCCTATGAGATTATTGCAGAAGGTAACTGTAGAAACATCCTTAGTTGGGATAAAACATCAGAAGAGAAGTGACGCAGGACTTGAAGCAGATGGACCAACTCAGAGCAGAGCTCCGCAGAATATTTGCTGTTAATATTTACTTGGGATGTTCAAGATAAATTTGGTTTGACCATGCATTGGTTTCCTTATATTTGCTTCCTGCAAATAATACAGAAAAAGGTCACAGGAAAATGAATTTGAGGCAATTCAAGCAGAGCATTGGCAGAAAGCAAAGTTCACACTTATTAAAACAGGTATCAGTTAGAAATTAACCTTGAGAACTACATTCAACATGGTCACATTTACTGGGAGACCCACAGAGATTATAAAAACCAATTACTACTGTTTGTTATGAGTCCCAGACAAGTTTCAGAATGACTACTTTTGGGTGACATATGTACCAAGAATAAATTATCACACTTTTCTATATTGTACATTATTATCACACATGAGCAGAACAGTTTTCAGCTGCAAACAAAAACAAAGGAAGCATTTGCAAGGAGAAAATGCCATAGGATATACCAAACTAAGCAATTAACTCAGTTGCTAATTATTTTAGTCTGTTAATAGTTTTATTTCCTTTCTTAACTGGTATATTATCTGTACTTCTTTACGTCTGCATGGGCAAGCTATGATGGTCACTAGTGCAGAGGCCTCCCTGTGCCCAGCCGACTGGACTTTCTTTGCAGGGTGGGTACGAAAGGATGCCGCGTCCCCTCCCCGGGCTAAGGCTGGCAAAGCCAACTTCTCCGCCACACCTGCCATCGGCAGAGGTGTGAGCAGAGCGTGTGTCTCAGCTCAGCTCACCCTGGCCCCTTCGGCAGGGTACCTCGTGGAGGGGTTAGTGCAGCCTGGGATGCACCGGCTTGGACCAGGGCTGGGGGCAGAGCAGCTCAGCCTGAACTGGCCTCGGGGAATTTCCCCCTCTGCTACACTGAGAACAAAAATTTTTAGTTAACAAGTTAGTAATGGATATTATTAAATAT